ATAAGTATTAAGAAATGTTGAACAAGAATTTGAAAAATGTTGAACAAGTATTTAAAAAATATTGAATAAATATTAAAAATGTTCAACAATTATTTGAAACATTGTTGAATAGGTATTAAGAAAAAACGAGTATATGAAAAATGTTGACCAAGTATTTACAAAATGTTTAACAAGAATTTGAAAAATGTTCAACAACCATTTGAAAATGTTGAATAAGTATTAAAAATGTTGAATAACTATTTGAAAAATGTTGAATAGGTATTAAAAAATGTTAACGAGTATTTAAAAATATTGAATAAGTATTAAAAATGTTGAATAAGTATTTAATTTTATTAATTAACTGTTAAAATGTTGAACTAGTATTTGAAAGATGTTGAAAAAGCGTTCGGACAATGTTGAACGTGTATACAAAAAATGTTGATCGCTTGTTATAGAAAAAAATTGAAATGTACGAAAATTTATAGTGAAAACAGAAACAAACATAAGAAAACACACAAGAAAAACAAAAAATAAAGAAGAAAAAAGAAAACCAAACAAAAAATAGAGAAATAAAGGAAACAGACAAGAATGAAACAAATCTGGTCTAAGAAGAAAGGATGCAAAAAACAGAGAAGAAAAACAAATAAAAAAACAAAAATGTCGAATAAGTTTGAAAAGAATGTTGAATGAGAATTTGAAAAGTGTTGAACGAGTGTTTGAAAAGTGTTGAACAAGTGTTAAAATGTGCAACAAGTATTTGAAAAGTGTCGAATAAGCGTTTGGACAATGAAAAAATGAAGAAAAACGGAGAAGAAAAAACTGAAGGAACAAAAGCAAAGAAATGAAAAAAAGATGGAGAAGAAAAAAAAAGAAAAAAAGAGGAGAAAACCGGCACGTTGTCTTGAAGTTGGTCGTGCCCTAGCAATTATCACGATCTCCTGGTGTGGTGCGGTGGCTAGTGTGCTGCGTTTGTTCGTGCGCAACCAAGGATCGATCCCTGGTAAGCTTATTGCGACAAATAGTAGCTGCGCCGAATCATGGCTCGCTCACTCCGCCCCCGCGCCTCCACCCGTCGCTAGCCCATTGGCTAGACACGTCATATTCTTGCTTGTAGTGATGAATAGTTGATGCTTCGCCCAAGCAGGAATTGACTGGGGCCATGTCCTGTTTTGCAATTTTTTATTTCATAGATTTAAAGAATAAAAATGGCAGGAGCGTCTTAAAAATGGGAAAAGTTATTGTGGAAAATAACAAAAGTTATGTTCATGTGTATAAATGTGTGCTTCCCCTGTTTGAAGAATTCTCGTCGTGTCAAAATGTCCATCCAATATTTGAAAAATGTTAAACAAAATTCGTCACATATTTAGAAAACATTTACCGTTTCTTGTAGAAGTATTTATAATGTTTTGTAAGTGTTCACTGCATACTAAGAAAATATTCATTGTGCTTTTGTAAAAAAAAGGTTAATTAACGTTTTTATAAGAAGTTCATGTACACAGCAAAGGAAAAATAAAAATAAAGAAATAATGAACATAAAAAATGAAAGGAAAGAAGAGCTAAACTGAGAGAAAACAGAGACGAAAAATAAACAACAGCAAATCAAAAAACCATAAAGAAAAGACATAAAAGAAAACCAGCAGAAGCCCGAACATGGGTGGCCCAGCGAAACCCCCATGCGGGTGAAGACCGCGGGCACAGAAGGATTTGCTGGTTGGTAAGCATAAATTAGATATTGGCATTTCAGATTGGTAAGCAACTAAGCATGAATTAGAGCTAACATTTGCTTGTTGGGAACCATAAATTAGATATTTGCAGTCTTAGATTGGTAAGCACGAATTAGATTGGTAAGCATGAATTAGAGATAACATTTCATATTTGTTGTTCGGTAAGCATAAATATTAGATATTTGCGTTTTTTCAGATGCACCTCTAATGACTCATCTTGACAAAACACCACTTGTCACTCACCTTAGGGACAAGATAACACAAAAAGAAGGTGAGTTGCTTACATTACATGAGATATAAAAAAATGATGCAACCACCACAATGCTGAACAATGATTCCCCCATGCCTTTGGAATTGTCAATACTAGATAAACCCAAAATTACATGTTCGGGTGTTGATCATAATGACGTGATTGCTGATTTTGTACAAGCTCTTCATAACACTCTTTGGAGAGTAAGTTGCAATGCCTTATAGATAACAGTAGCCTTGAAACAGAATTTGCAAATTTGGATACTAATATTCTCAGGTACAATGAAGAAGGTGAACAAGGTTTTGGTTACCGTATTGCTCAAATTACTCTCTGTTACAAAAATCTCAAAAAGTTGCAGCTACTAACCTTCCAGGCACCATCGCACGACTTGTACTCACCAAAGTGTGAGTTTTAATTTTCTATATGATGCTGATGCACTGGAAGCACATACGACTTCGACCAAAATTTGCTACAAAGGTGCTCCAAACCACGGCCGGAGGTGAGAATAATTTTATCTCGGGTCGATATCCCTTGAGATTCAGATGGATAAATGGAGCACCGAAGCCTAGCTACGTGACTAAAAAAGAAAGTGCTGGCTACGGGGCAACCTGAAAGTCATTAAATGTCTTTCTTAGATTTTGGTCTTTGAGTTTAGTTGCGTTCCTTTTTGCATTGACATTTTCATTTTGCATGACTTACTATTAGAGTTGGTTTTCGACTAATCTTCGAAAGATAAATTTTTAACGTATCAGCTGACTCGATTATTCTATTTTGATGCACACTTCCTTGTAGTTTGGTTGCAAATGTTATCTACACGACATAAGGAGAAAGCCCAAAAAATATGGTGAAGTTTGGTGGCTTCGGGAACGATGGGGTGCGACACGACCACTCATGGTCGTGCTAACTCTAGCCACAAGAAGAAAGTTGTCCAAAGGAGAAGACGAGTTGCGGTATGAGGAGAGACACTCGTACCGATGGCGGCCACACAAGAGCGACCATTCTAGAAGAGAAGAGATGTGCAATACGACCGTTTTCGTTCATACTAGCGGTCGTACCAAAATTCAGCTGAACAACCACCTTATACAACAGATAAGGACAGGGTGCGGTATGAGCGCTCGCGCTCGTAATTACACTACAATAGGGCCAAGCTGAATATCGAGAGAATTGACTAGAAGATGGGGCACGATATGACAACAACCGGTCATACTCGTGCTCATACCGAAGCAACAACCGATATCAACATTCTGATATGATCTATTCCTTCCGTACCGAATTACTTGTCTTGGATTTATCTACATACGGATGTATCTAGACTCATTTTAGTATTAAATACTTCTGTATCTAGACAAATCTAAGACAAGTAATTCGAAACAAAGAAAGTACTTCAGGTTTACTACAATGTGGAATTAGCGTATGCCACTAGGATTGGCTAGAGACCACTCGACCGGAAATTTTATTTGAGTTAGTCAATTGGTTTCCAACCGTTTGATCAAAAATGGATGATCAGACCCTTCTTCAACCACCAGACCGACCAAGCCACCAGATACCTAACTGCCGTCGCCGTCCGTGGCCGTCGGCATTCCCGCGCTAGCCTCACCGCCACGTCCTCCCCCAACCGCCGCCCACCGATGTGTTGTTGCCGCCCCTGGCCATCCCGCTAAACTCAGAATTAGCAGATTTTTTCAAGCGAACCTATATTTCACGAACTGCCAAGAGCATCTCCAACAGCCGCGTCAAAAGACGCGCGTGCGAGATAAATTGACGTTTTAGCGCGTGCGAGACGTTTTCGCGCGCTTCAGCGGTGGCGGGAAACTAGCGCGCGCCGAAAAAGGCGACAGCTCGCGCGCTACATTTGGCGCGCCGCGTCCAGCGCGCCTATAAATTGCAGCGCCCTCTGCCGCTCTCTCCATCTCTCCATCACCCTCTGCCGCCAACACGCCACCACCGCGCCACCATGCCGCCTCGCCGCCGGGGAGGTACGGGCTACCGCGGCGTTCGCGTGCGTCCGTCCGGCACCTACTCCGCCGAGATTCGATCGGGCGGCGGCATGCGGCTCCGTCTCGGAACCTTCGACACCGCCCAGGAGGGCACCCGTGCGTACGACGCTGCGGCGTGGCGCTTCCTGCGGTCCCGTCAGGACATGAACTTCGCCGATGTGGCGACGCGGGAGCGTGCACAGGAGTTGACGCCTTTCCCGCGGCTTCTCACCAACGAGGATCGTTGCAAGCACCGGAAGCGGGAGCATCGTCTCAGGCTGGCCGAGATGGACGAGCAAGCCATGGCGATGTGGAGCCATCGCTTCTCAGACGACACCAACAAGGAACAGTTCTTCGCCCAGAGGAGGGCGAAGAGGGAGAAGAGGAGGGAGGAGCGAGCCGACTATCACAAGGACAAGCGAACACGGAAGGAGGTCGCTAAATACAACCAAGCGCTAGGAGATGCGTCTTCTTGGAACTCCGGCGACGAGCGGTTTCTTGACGCCTACGCTCCGACGTCGGAGGAGGACATCACCGAGACAGAGTCCGAGTCGGACGAGTAATATTAGTAGGAGAACTACCCACGAAGCCAAATATGTATCGAATCGTAGTAGGAAAAGCTAAATATAGCGCACCTGCTGGAACGGCATGGGCGCGCTTTAATTTGTGGCGGCCACTGAAGCCAGCGCACCGCCGTGCGCTAAAGCTGACTAACCCGACGCTGTATCATGACTTTTAGCGCGTGGCGCGTTGTGCGGCTGTTGAAGATGCTCTAAGATATAGCGCCGGCGAGCCTGCCACTCTATGATAGATTGTCAGCGAGCCTGCCACACTACCATCCTAAGATAGATTGCCGGCGAGCCTGCCACCCAAATATAGATCACCGGCAGCTGCTTCTTCCTTTCCTCCGGCGAGCCTCCTTCTTCTTTCAAATATCAACTGACCCAAAATATAAATTCAGGCGACTCACATATAGTTATTGTGTATGCCATTAGATATGGGTAACGTGCACGGACTACATACGTATACAGAGTATTACAAAGTACTACGAACTGCGAAGAACACTTGAATTCACTTGTCCGCGGCCGCGCCATTCCCTTCGCCGCCTCCAGCGACCTCGCTCGCCGGCGCGGCCTTTTTCCCGCACTGATGCTTGCGGCACTGGCACCGCGCCGAGCGCGCGCTCACCGCGCTCCTGAGCCGCCCGAGCCTCGCGCTCCCGCCTCCCTCCTCGGCCTCCTCCCCCATCGTCCCCAGCATGGTGCTTCCCCTCCCACCGCTACTGCTCCTCAGCCACAACTCCATCATTCTCTTCCTCACCTCGCAGCCCGGCTCCTCGTGCCCTTCCGCGCCGCAGAAGCCGCACCTGACGCCACCGTTGCCGGCCACCGACGCCTTCGCCGCGCGCCGCGCCTCCCGCAAGCCCTCGGCGCGCTCCCAGCTCAGTGCCAGCGCCACGGCCTCGTCCAGCGCCTCCGGACGCTGCGGCGCCACCCAGTCCTGGAACTCGGCGCGTAGGCCGTGGACGAACGCGGACGTGAGGAACGCGTCGGGGATGTCCGTGCTGGCGTCCGGGAACCGCCGGAGGATCCCCTGCATGCGGAGGTGGTACCTGTTGACAGCCTCGCCGGGGCGCTGCCTCAGCGCCATGAGTTCGGCGCGCGCGCGGTTGGCGGCGCCTGGAGGGCGGAAGAAGTCGACGAAGGCCGCGCGGACGGCGTGCCACGGCGGAGGCGAGGAAGCGGGGGCCGCGAGCTCGTACCACAGCGCGGCATCGGCGTCGAGGGAGGCCGGGAAGATACGGGCGGCGTCGGCCGTGGACGTGGCGTTGTTGGCGCGGCAGACGCGGTCGAAGCGGGCGAGGTGGGCGTCGGGGCACTCGCCAGGGTCGCCGCGGAAGACGGGGAGAGGGGCGACGGCGACGTAGGTGCCGGCAGGGATGTCCGGGGAAGGGATGTAAGAGGGTGGCGCGGACACTGATGCCTCGGAGAACGAAGGGGTGCGTTCTTGGGAGCTTGCACTTGGGTCGTCGGAGGTTGGCGTGGGGGAGCGGCGGCGGCGGCGGCGGCGCCGAAGTCGGAGGCGGCCGCCGCGACGCGGCCGCTGGGGCGGCGCGTCCTGGCCGGAGGTGGAGTGGTCGGTGGAAGCGCGGCCCATGGCTGCGTATCTCCTGCAAGCGTGCGAGAGGAGACGCGAGGAAGTTGGCGATGCAAGACGGAAATGGCGCGACGGTTTGGTATCTCGAGGGCAGTTGCTTGTATGCTGTTTCTTTTTTTCTTTTCTTTTCTTGCGGGGGCTTGTATGGTGTTGTTTTTTTTTTTTTTTGAAACGGCTTGTATGGTGTTGTTAACTGCAAACAAATGCAATTCCGGGCCGCCACCGGTTTTTGCAAAGATTTCCTAAAGAATGTTTATACCTTACCTACCTAGAGCAACTCTAGGATGCGCTATATCCCCACTTTCCTCTAAAATAACTGACATTTTACAGGCCGAAACAAGAACTCGTCCTAACCAAATCTTTTAAAATTGTATGATCTGTAAAAAAAATTGCAGTGAACTGCATATTTTGGCCCACATCCGTCAAATATTCGGTTTTTACCCTCTGTTTTGCCACTCCCTCTATTTCATGTGCGATTTGGCTGGAGGGAAACTTCCGCCACTTCCGTGACGCCCCTCCACGCCACCACCATCGCTGATCTCTCCGGCCCCACGCCCTCTCGCCTCGCTACGCTCCGCTTCGGCCCAAGCCTGCTGGCGACGGGTCTCGCTCCGCTCTCTCGTCAGAAGTTAGCATTTATCTTTATATTTGAATTTGGGTCACAGCATAACATTGCCAAACTTCTTACAGATAGGTTAAAGACCTTTTCCTAACTTTGTCCATGGAGATCATACCGGATTCATCTCCGGTAGGAACATTGCTGAAAACTTTGTATATGTTGCTGATCTAATTAATACCTATCATAATAGAAAATTTCTCCACTACCGTGCTCAAGTTAGATTTTAGGAAAGTCTTTGACTTGATTTTCTGGGCCTCCTGGGTAAAATCCTTCTTCTTAGAAGCTTCCCTGATAAATTTAGGTTATGGATACAAAACATCCTTTCAACTGGCAAAACTACAATTCTATTCAACAGCATCCTAGGGCCTTGGATCACATGTAAAAATGGTTTACGTCAGGGCGACCCACTCTCGCCTTATCTATTTATCATCGTGGCCGACTTGTTATAGCAGCTCATCCCTCAACATCTTCACATTGCTCTCCTTCATCACCCCCTCTTTGAGGATCTACCACCCACAACACTCTAGTACGCAGATGACACGTTAATTATCGATGCGGCCTCTCCTATAGCAGCCTCTGCCCTAAAAGGGTTGCTTCGGGATTTCTCGTTTTCCACTGGTCTGCACATTAATTTCTCAAAAACATGATTTGTCCCTCTAGTCACTTCTCCCCCTGACCAGCACTCCACCGCTTCCATCCATAGCTACCCCTTTTCTTCTTTCCCCCAAACCTATCTAGGGCTACCGCTTTCTCCGCTTCGACCTCCCCCGAACCTTTTCCTGCCAATCCTAGAAGGTTGTAAAAAAAATCAGGCTGGCACACAAAATTACTGTCAAGAGGGAGTTATTTACCCAAAATCATCACACTTGGGGCTAGGGTAACCGGTCAGTACCACATTTAAGCCATGTCACAAAAAACCACCAACTCTGGGACTAATCGGTACCGTGGAGCACTGACTAGCCGTTTTAGCCGCGGAAACAACGAAACCGACAGGTCGGGACCACCTGTCGGGTCGACGTGGCGCGGGCTGACAGACGCCGTTAGACGGAGGGGGGCGGCCGTTTACGCGCCCGTGTATTAGTGGGCCGTGCGGGTCGCTCGTCGGACCAGACCGCACCAGATTACATCCGACCCCTCTGTCTCGACCTCGACGACCGCCGCCGCCGCCACTATCGTCTCGCCGTCGTCCGCCGGTCCGCCATGGTTTCCTGGAGCGAGGGGTCAAGCTCTTCTTCTTCAAACGACGAGTCAGTGACTAGCCAGGTACGTTCATTTGGGGATTCCAACATTTAGGGTTAGGGTTAGGGTTCTTGAGTTGGGGATTTCTTACCAAGTCGCTGATTTCTTCAATCTCTTTGGTTTTAAGCTTCCTAGGACTATCCCATGCTATGAATGGAGTGGCATTGCTCATGATATCTCCTCTCGCTGTCTGCATCGCGAGCCTTGCCTCAGGCTAGTAGCATTTGAATCTACGGACACTGGCCGACGTTTTCTTGCTTGCGCTGAGGAGAAGGTATGTTGGTTAGTACTGTATTTAGTTAACCTTAGTTAGTTTTTGCTCCATTCAAATGCCAGAAGGAAATTTTGTTCTGCTTATTAGTGTGAACAATTGTCATTGCCCACAGTTGGATTTAATTATGCTCTGAAAGTAGTAAATTATGCTATGCCAGTGTAATTTGCTCCAAATAATTAAGTAGTGTACAACATTGTTAGTGCCAGTAGGAAATTATGCTATGGCAGTGTAATTTGCTCAAATAATTAAGTAGTGTACAACTAGTGTACAACATTGTTAGTGCCAGCACTAAATATTGTACTTATTAATGACAACATATATTTAGTTTATATGCTGTTAAAAGTGACAAAATTTCTTATTGACAACACATATTAATTTGATAGGCTTTCTTAATTGTTTGTGCATTTAAATGAACACAATTTCTTACTGAGAACATCTCTTGTGTAGTATGATTGACAATATTTTTTCTGAATTATAGGCTGAACTAAAGTGCAACTATCTGGAGTGGATAGACCCTGAGTGGTCAGTGGCTATGATGTTCTGCCTAACTGAATTGTGGGGCATGTATGACAAAGAAATCAATGACAGGCTGAGACACAATGTTCAGCTTGGTGATCAGAATTACAAATTAGTTGGAGAAAAGAGGAAGATGGAAGAAGAGCTGAGATTTTTCAAACTTGATTTTGCAAAAATGGTGGCTGACAAGGAGGATACTATTACTGAGCTGGGCAATACTAGGTTGGCTCTCAATGATCTGAAAGAGGAGATGGAGAAGAAGAAGCTGGCAGACCATGGTTGCACAAACCTACATCAGTTACTCAGGGCAAAGGCAGAGAAGGAGAGGGACAAGCTTGTGGTAGAGAGAGACCAAGTGCTCACAGAAAGAGACCAACTAAAGGAAGAGAAGAAAAAGCTAGAGTACATCATCTCTGATTTGCTGAAACAGAAGCATGGCTACAAGGACAAGATCAAGAAGTTGAAGGAGATCTGTGATGAATTTTAATTATGTAATGTGGCATTGTACTGGTGTAGTTGTGCTCTGTTGCACTGAATAATCAGCCCTACTAGAAGTGCACTGTACTGTTGTAATGGTTAAATTTGTACTGAATTATGCAGTTTATCTGCAAGTCTAGAATTTGAACTTATGGCATGAATTTGAACTTAATTTGTAGTGCTATCTCTTGTATCATATTGAGTACTCTATTATATTTACTTCACTCCATGTGAAACTGGTGTGATAGTCAAATTATTGTGCACAGAAAAATTTGAAATACTAGTAACTTATGGCATGAGTATACCAGGAACTTTCTGGCATTATTATTATGCACATAATGTGATGATCAGGGAGTGCAAACAACATAGCAGTACAAAGTAAATGTAGCAGTGCAAGCACATAATTATAGATAGGTACATGATGATTGAAGCAAGCCAACATAGTAGTACACAAGAATAATAGATAGTAGTTCCTCATAGCATAAAACCAAGATCCATACATAGGTTTAGCATAACATTACACAACAGTAGTTCATAGTGGCACACATAGGTTCAACACAGCATTACATAAGTTCAAATTTAGTCTTGGCATAGATAAAGTGCTCTAGTGCCTGATGGAGCACACATGCACTTGGATACATAGTCAAACAAGAACTCTCAGTAGTTCCCATTGGCATAGAAGTACCCCTCCATCCTTTTGCTCATGTATCTTGCCCTTTTCGGCCTATTTCCTGTTGGCTGGCTAGTTGAAGCTTCTGCAGTAGTTCTTGGAGGATTGAAGCTTCTTGCACCTGTTTTTGCACCTCTCCTTGCAGCAGCAGTACCAGCACCAGAAGGAGAAGAATTTGCAGCTCTAGCAGATGAACCAGCAGCTCTAGCAGATGTAGCAGCAGCTCTAGCAGATTTGCCCCTTGAAGCAGCAGCAACAGATCCCCTTGAAGCAGATGTAGAGCTTGCACCCCTAGGAGTTGTTGTACCAGATGTTGAGCTTCCACCTTGCTGCCATGTAGGGGTTATCCTGTTTTCCTACAATTATTTTTGTTGGATAAATTTCAGTGATACTTAATGAGTGATGAGATAGAGAAGGAAGTCAAAAATAACATACCATGTGTTTGTTCTTCCTGATTTGCAGATCTGGCCTCAATGGCTTTGCATAACTTGTGTATTTGTGGCCCTGCAACTTGCAGTTACTACAAGTTATTGTAGCCATCCTTGATGTCTGCTTTGCTTGAGGAGGCTCAAACCTGCCTTTCTTCCTTTTCTCTTCTGCTGGTCCCTTCTTGTCTTCTTTGAACTGAGGTGGGTCAGTGTCAGGAGTTGCAGTTTTCACCCAACAATCAGGACCAGGAACTGGGTAAATGATAGGCTTGTATGACTCCAAGTACATAGCCTTTTTGAAGAAAATATTTACATGGTCCTCTGGTAGTTGTTTGGACCTGTAGATGGCAGAACAACCATGGTTGCAAGGAATTCCAGAGATGTCCCACTTCTTACAACCACATGTTTTCACATTAGTGTAAACAGAGTAGGTCTTATCCCCACTACTCACTTGGAAAAGACCTAGTCCAGCTATCAATGATTTGCAGTCCCTTGCATATCTCTTGTTCATCTCTAACCTCTCAACATAAGTTGGTGCAATTTCCTATCTTGAAACTAGTCCACCCTCTCTCTTTTGCTGATACCTTACCAGAAGTTTGTCCTTGATCCCATTGATCATGGTGACAATTGGCTTGTTCCTTACATCAAGTATGTACTTATTAAAAACTTCACTTAAGTTATTGACAACCAGATCAGTTTTGCAGTTAGTATCCATTGCATGTCTTGACCAAGCTTTTGAAGGAATCCTTGACATCCACTCCCAAGCAGCCTTGCACT